GTTGTTTTTCATTTATTCAAGATTTTTGAAGAAAATAAATTTGAAAAACACAGAATAAACAGTAAATTTACTTAAAACCTTTTATTGATTGAAACAATTTTCAAATATTGCTTTTTTATTTCCATTTAAAAAACATTGTTCTTAATGGAAAATTTTTTTAAACCTAATATATATTTTAATGATGGTTAAATATATGTATTAGTGGAAAGAAGTCAAACCTTTTAAACGTTTTTTTTAAACCATTTTAAAAGTTATTTCCTGAAAACAAACTGAATTTAATGGAAATATTTGTAACTATTTGTTCATTTACAGAGCATGTTAATGTGTGTTTCTAAACTCAGAAATGTTTCTCACTTGTAAAAAGTCTCCCAACCTTTTCCAGTTGCTCCGAGGCTCTAGAGGTTCATTCGGGTTTCCATTTCCTGTTTCAGGATTTTCTGGGTGTGTCAAAAAGTGCGGCCTCATGTCGTCATGCATAGGCCCCGCCCCCTGCTAACCCAGCAGTGTGCAGTGAGGCTGCCGCTGCATTTAGCTCCAGACCCCTCTAGAGCTAGTGACTTTGGTGACATCACACGTAGCACCAGTCGCTCTGTTTACCTTCATCGGTTATAGTGAGCGAGCCGCTCCTTCAAACGCAGTGGGGTGCGTACGATTTCAGAGGCTGCTTCCTCCAGGGACCCGCTCTACCTGGACTAGGTCCTTCGATTCCATGAAAAGAAGAAGAAGAAGAGTTACGGCTGTGGATTCAAACAGGTCCAGCCTTCTCTGGATTTCATCGTCTGTATGTTCTGTCGCCTAGCAACCGTTACAGGTGACACACAAAGCAGGAAAAGAATGGATGCTGAGCTTCTCCCTGCTGTTCTGGCTGCTTTCTAAGGAGCTTCAGCAGCAGTACGGTCGTCTCAGATATCAGATTAATGGTCCCAACCCTGCAGAGATATTAGAGTCTGAGCTTGAATGATTTTAACTCAGTAACAGAATAAACCAAACATTACTGACACATATCTGACTCATTAACCATTAAAACAACCATTTTCATTCATTTCAGACGGAACTATTCACACAGTTGGATTATATTAAACTGAACTTCGATATTCACCACTGGTTGGCATCATTTCCCTTTTTCCTCTGAAGTGGTGCTCTGTCAGACCAAAGAGTCAATACCCGCTTATCCCTTTAGTTTTGTAGGAAAAATAGACTTTCAACTACCTCAACAGGCGTGTATTCCTTCCTGAAAAACTATTTCATTACTTACTTTTTGGTGTTTTTTTAAGCGTATGGCGATCTGACAAATAGTTCTTTTTCAATTCAGTTTATTTCTATGGCGCCAATTCACAACACAAGTCATCTCAAGACACTTTACAGTTCAACCAGATCATCCAGTCAAATAGTGCATGACTAAAGGGATACACACCCACTGAGGTAGTTTAAAGTCTATTTTTCATACAAAACTAAAGGGATAAACGCAAATCTGTCGTCTTGGGCTTCCTATTGACTATAGGTATGCTGGTCTGACAGAACACCGCCTTGCTTGGACTCCCAATGCATCATGGGATACCCAAGGCTACATAGGACACAGCAGATCTGCCCTTCAAAACGGGCAACAAGAAGTCTTCCAATCCGAACAGACCTGGGCGCCGGATCACTCTCTCAGAGAGATAATCTAGACTATTAGGGACCAGTTGGAACAGAAACAAAGAGTTCTCCAAAGGTTCCTGTTCTCTGAATCTAATAACCAGCAGTGAGGGAATGCTCATGCTATCTTGGCGATAGAAAAGGTTTGTTGCATATTTGCAGTAATGGGCATCAAGGGGTTAATATCACCACTTTCACATTTTAATAACAGAAACCGCAAATAATATTTAAATACTAAATGTAACAATCACAGGTCTAACTGAGAGGAAGGTCAACGTGAGGGTGGATACAGAGATCAATTAGCAAGAAGTCCAATGAAGACATCAGCAATCCTCTCCTCTATAACCACATCTCCGCCATGTTTACCATCAGGAGTCGTTCGGATTCTATATGCATCTAATTACCAGATAAAATAGAGCATAAAGCATAAAAATTAAATATATATCCCACTCAGCAGAGATTCTGATTATTTACAAACTTCTGTCTTTGTGCAGAAAGGCCAGAAACACTTTGAACTAAGGTGAATCTAAAATGCAGATTGTTTCTAGTAAAAATTTAGCTGTAACTGACCAATCAGAGGACAGAACATGCTGACGTAGGGGCGTGGCCTTTAGCTGGCCCTGTAGGGCTAATCTGAAATCTGATTGGTTGAAGAAAATGTTCCTCGCTCATATTGTTAAGGTAACTTAAGGTAAAGGTTTCTGAAGGCCAGAGGCAGATTAGATTGACATAGCAACAGACTGAGGCTGACATCTGATTGGACAAAAAATGTGTCTAAATAAAAGTAATGGAAGCAGCCAAGAGAAACGCTGTGAAACTAAAAGAATAGATTGTTTGGAATAAATTAATATAGTTGGAAAGAATAAAATAAAAGTTTAGTTTGTGAATGTAGGTTATTGTTTCTCGTTGGTTTTAGGCCAGCAGTGAAGGCTTTAAAGGCTCTGACTGCTGCTACAGAAAGTATTCACCCCCCTTTAAATGTTTCACTCTTTGTTTCATTGCAGCCATTTACTAAAATCAATAAAGTTCATTTTATTTCTCATTAATGTAACTCAGCAGCCCATCCTGACACCGCAGAACTGATTTTTTTGTGTGTGGAAGTTTATCAAAAAAGAAAAACTGAAATATGGTCATAAGTATTCAGACCCTTTGCCCAGTACTGAGCAGAGTTACCTTCTGAGCTCCAGGAATCTTCCTGGGAATGATGCAACAAGTTTTCACACCTGGATGTGGGAATCCTCTGCCATGTTTCACTGCTGGGATAGTGTTGGGCAGAAGATTCAGATTTTCTCCACACATACAGCTTAGTAGTGATGGTTAATGAGGCATCATGAAGCCAAACTACACTATATTGATGCTGCGCTGATTCTGTCTCGCAGAATACTGACACCTGCTGGACATTTAAAGGCACTGCAGGTAGCTGATTGGACAGAATAAACTGAATTGATTTGATGACCTAGAACAATATCATTGAAATTATATTATATTATTTCATATCTATGTTTAAATTGAAAATATCTTTGATATTTTTAGATGCAGCCAATAAATAATGTAAACATATATTATATAAAAAATTTAGAGGAAAATGTCAATGAGGTGCTGCTGGACTAGTATTTTAAATCCTATTTTTAAAACAATAAGAACAGTAAAAACAGTAAATAAACTAAACTCAGATAAGTTGAGTGATAACAGAGGATGACACAACCTGAAATTAAAATAAAAACGGCTGAAATGTTCCTATTCCTTTTAGGTTGCACCAAAAATCTGGATCATTTTAATGATAAACTGCTAAAAGATGAGAGATTTTGTAGCAAGACATCATGTTGGCAGAAAAGTTTTTAAACGTAAGTTTAGTGAGTCAGTCAGTTAGAAACTCCTGGATCGGTCACATGATTTTCTGGAAACTACGTGCACAAATGGCAGGGGTCAGCAGACCCTGGCCCCAGAGCCACAATTGTCTCTTTAGCGCCCCCTTGCTGCTCCCTGGAGTTTTTTCAAAAATTTAGGAAATTTAAATTTTTTATTTTTTTTGTTTATTTTAATATGGTGTGCAGGAGGTCAAACAAACATTTGTCATGTTTTCCAGTGCCTTAAACATTTCTTTCAATAAAATTAGCATCACAGCCATAGAGATCAGAGGTCACATCCTGCAGCAGGTCTCGGCGCGGCGCGGCGCCAGGCAGGCAGGTGGCTGCTGTAAACAAAGCGGTGGGTGTGTCTCAGACCATGGATCCCAAAGGGAAAAAAGGAAGATAGTTTCCAGGGAAGGCTAAATCTGCAGCCCACCATCAAGCTGGGAGGGAGAGAAAAAGTTTGATTGCAGAACTTCTGGATAAATTAGAGGAGAGCAAAGATAGATTTAAGAAGTAGATTGCATTTCCAAACTCCACTACTGCTGCTAGTTTGGTTGCAAGGTTGAATAATATACCCGTTTCCCATAGGTTCCATGTGGAGGCCTGTTATTCAGGACATGATGGGATATTTGGCGTCTGGAGAAAGGAGGTGTATACTGGTTGAGAGAAAATCTGAAAACAGAAGCTTCTCAGAATTTCTGTCCAGAAAAACACAAACTAGAACTGCAAAGGTGAACATCACTGAACAGTAGGCATCACCTGGTGGACAAAAAGGTTTATTTTATGTTGTGGTCCCTGAATGCCACACAGCGTCCAGTAGTTCACCCAATCAGACGTCTGTTGTTTTTAATGTCTGCAGTGAAGCCGTGTTTAGCTATCGTTGGTATTTTAGGTTTATAACTACAGACCTTCATGGTTTCACTGATCGTCTAAAGAGGTGAACCAGTTCAGCTGGTTAATGTTGAAGCCTCCTGTCCGTTCAGATTCCTCACCTTTTCTCTTCTTTCAGTCTCAGCAGAGAAAACTTCAGGTTTATTTACATCGAATGCTCAGGCGAGACTAGAAAAAAAGATTCTGACATGAAATCAGACCAAATGCGTCCTGTTTTAGGCCCATTAGCTAAATATTTCTGAACATCTCCTGATCAGATGGACGTCGTTTCCTTTCAACTGTGGTCTTTAGTTCCACCACTAAAATAAGATCAAACAATGAAAGTTTATGTTAAAGATATAATGAAACCATCCGTACCTTGGTTGCTGAAGAATAATCGGCGTTGTGGCTGATTGGAGTTTGGGTCCTGAGTCAGAACGGTCTGATAATCAGCTGATGTAGTTCAGGACTCGTGTTCTTCTTCTTCTTCCGGGGAGGATCGGCATGTCGGTGCAGCTCCAGGTGTCTGAACCAAACCAGAACCCTGCAGGTCCACAGATCTCCTCTTGATGTTCAGGATTTTTCACCAAAAAATGGACCCAGATGGCCTCCAAACCAACATAAATAAAAATAATCCCAGACATTTTCTTTTTGCCTTTATGACGTCAGGCAGCTTTTATTTTAGTGTATTTATCGTTCAGAAAAACACTCATTAAAACGTAGAAAAGTGTCCAGAGCTGTTGCTTTGGTTCATTAGTCAGTTCAGAGCATTAAACACAGTGGGGGGGGGTAAGCAACAAGCCCCTCATGGAGACGCTGCTAATATTTGGTCTGCCCCCCCTACACACACACACACACACACACAGCAAACTGAGTTATGAGATGAAAATCAGCTGCAGATATAAACAGATGTGCAAATGAAGTATAAAGAGAATAAAAAGCTGATTGAGGACAGAACAGATAGAACCAGATCCAATAGATACTAAAATCATGATAAAAGGCAGAAGACCAAGACCTCCAGCCAGCGGCGGTTTGGTTGGTTGATGTTAACATTTCCAACGAGCCACAGGAGGAAAGACATGAAGCTCAGCTGGGAGTAAATCTGATGGAGAAGCTCCTCATCAGTTCAGCGAAGCCTGGATTCAAAAACAGCAACGAACAGATAAAAACATCCTAATAAACAGGACAAACGTCCACTAAAAGAGACACACATAGAGGTCACGTCCACCAGATCCTCCAATCCACACAACCTACAGCCAGGTTTATTCTGGAAAGCAGAGATCTATGATGCGATGTTAAAGCGAGCCGTTTCTCCGCGGCTGCAGCGGTACCACAGCGTCCGTCTAAAAGGCCGAGCTGATGAGGAGGAACGGGTCCAAAACACCACACACCCAATCTCTACGTTCCTTAGAAAAGGTTCCTCTGACGGCTCAGGAGGTTAATATGTCACCAGGATGTCATCAGAGGTCAGCAGACAGGAAGCAGGACCCTCCACCAATCAGCAGGCGGCGCTGCCGTCGTCTCAGGAAGCGCCATAGTTGACGGAGCTCAGCGCCGGACGCTTCTTGCCTTTGATCTTCAGGGATCCGTAGCGAAGCTGCTGATGACAGAACAGAACCAGTGACGTCAGTGAGGCTGTTCCAGAAGCTGCAGATCTAACGTCTCATTCTGACCAACAGCAGCGATCTAAACTGATCTGCGGCGCCGCCTCTGGCGCTCTGTGGAGGGAAAACCCCCTCAGCTCCTCCTCTTTTAATCACAACACATCACTTCCTGCTCCTGTCCTCCTGCTGCTGCTCAATTCTCAGTCAGCAGATCCTCCATCTCTGAATCTTAATGTTTGTATGAATGAACGCCTGAATGACGGCGTGGGAAGTCATCTCCTTATATGGCATCATCGGGCTGCTAATGATGCAGGTCTACATTCTGCAGGATGCGCCTCACTCCCAGGTGGACGGCAGCAGGATCCTCTCCTGAGGTTAGGAAGGTTTGTAGGGTCTGATGGGAGGAGCCCCAGTGGGAGGAACGGAGGAGAAATTAAGGAGTAGAATCTGGAAATGCTGCATGAGGTCAGATGTTTCTGCTTCCACCTGGTTCAGCGTTGCCGTCTCTTCCTCAACAGAGCCAGACAGCTCTGAAGCCGGGCATCGAGAACCAACCAGAACCGGTTCTAACCTTTCAATTCTCCCAGATTCATTTCAATTCTGTTTAATTTCTAGTTTACGCTCAGTCCGCCCACCAGCGATAGAAGCTGCCTAATACCAGCAGCCATCAGTTGGAGTCGCAGCGCTTTACAGTGCTAAACAGGGAAATGATAAAGGATGGCGTGATTAAACACCACCGCAGTCAAGATGGCGGTGTTCGTCTCTCACCTGGGGAATCTGTTCTTCCTCTAAATCAGCGCAGCTTCTGCAGGGAGAGCAGAGCCTCACAGACAGCCGCCTGCTTTCCTGCACATTCTGGACAGAATTTTTGCCAAACTTAGGAATAATTTAAAGCAGAACTTCATCTGTTTATTTAAGTTCACTAACTGAACGATGGAGAATGAAATTGATTGTTTCTCTGTCAACAAAAGTAAAACATCACTACTTCCAAATCCAGTTCAGTGGAGCTGAGATTAAACAGACGGAGCCATTTACTGGATTAAACATCATCGTTCACCAGATTAAACATTATTGTAAACCAGATTAAACATCATCGTTCACCAGATTAAACATAATCGTTTACCAGATTAAACACCATCGTTCGCCAGATTAAACACCATCGTTCGCCAGATTAAACATCATCGTTCGCCAGATTAAACA